TTAAAGAAGTGATCTATTATGTGAAGAGAGTTGCACGGGTTGTTACGTCAGACCCAAGCAATAATATAGTTATTACACGGGTATGTAGTGAATAACCGAGTTACACACCAATTCATATTTCAATCCCCGTGGCCTTCGGCCACGGGATTGAAATATGAATCGGTGTGTAACTCGGTTATTCACTACATACCCGTGTAATAACTATAATTAATTAAATCACAATATCTCGTGATTTAGTGATCCAGTTTGGATAATTTTAGTATGTACTATTCGAATCACATCTTCGAGAGGATTCGAATGATATCAAATAATTCAAATTAGATTACTAGAACACGAGATCTTACGATTAAATTAATCTAAATTACAATGTTCTTTGTACGAATTTGGTGTCAAAAGGGATATTGCATTTATTCGAAATTGCTAGAAGAATAAGGCTTTACCTCCTGGAAGTATTTGATTTGCTGACGTAGAAAGCTAATAAAAAAAAAAGAAAAAACTCGTTATATTGAAATAACATTAGTTTGAAAATATGTTTATTATAAATGAGCTCGTTGAAAGAGTAAAGATTTTTCAGCTATATGTGTATCACTAACAAAATAAAAAAAAACAATCACATTCTTAAACTCGAGTAAATCATGTGAAAACACATCATCTCGTTTATATTAGTAATATAACAAAGTTTGCTTAAGACATTTTATACTTACATGATTTTTAAATTACAAAGTCCTTTCATCGAGAGTTCACTTTTCTTATTCATTAGTCAAATTAATATAGTCCTTTAGCTTAATTAAGATGTTATTCTCACAATAATTTCTCTAAATATTGGTGATGTGATAATAATGAGAATAGTAGGAATATCAAGGCATTCATTAGTTAAATTTTCTTTTTGCAATTAAACATATTCTATATTCTCTTATCGCATCATGTCACTCTATTCCTGGTACGTATGAAATTTAACAGGAGGAAACGTTGAAGTTACACAACTGATTTTTCACACGGTGTGAGACACATAAAAAAATTATTTTACAATACTTGATCGGACTTGGTCAGTCAGCTAGTACATGTTACGATTATAATCCAACATCATTTTTTTATAATAAAAAATGATGTTGGATTATAATCGTAACATGTACTAGCTGACTGACCAAGTCCGATCAAATATTGTAAAATAATTTTTTTATGTGTCTCACACCGTGTGAAAAATCAGTTGTGTAACTTCAACGTTTCCTCCTGCTATGAAATTTAGCTAAAATTTGGTTACTAAATCCGTGTACTTTGTCCCCAAATTAAACTTTAGTTACCAAATTACATATTATTAATAAATCAATACTAAACCCCGAAAAATTTTTTTGAACCTCTGACCTGGATTGATAACGCGTCTAACCCATCTTCCCCACCTTTGTTAGACATATAAATTTATTATAACGACGTACCCTAACCGGTAAACATTGATTAACTAAGCAAAAAATCTATATTTACATATTAGTAGTCAATTTTGGGTATTTCATAAATTCGCCGCAATGCATTTCCTTGTGGAAGGTCCCTGTTATGCAACCAAGACCAAAAACAATTTAATAATTCTTTCCTTGCATATTTACTGCTCAAATCTTTTCGTGTATGAAATAAACAGGCATCAAATTCCTACAGTACCAAAAAGAACAATATCAATAATTTCCTAGTTGTACATACATATTATTTAAAGATTAGTAGACGTTTGACAGATCCAAAAGTCATCATAATAAACATCAATAAATAATTTAAGAACTTGTGGTGATGTCAAAATTAAGGCGGAATATATGCACGAATGCATAAAATCTAAATTTGCATTCCATAATTCCAGTAATCATTGCTTTTATATTTTATATAAAATGGTTTTAATATAAAAATCGCTTGTAATGTTTGAATTATAAATGATTGAGATATTAATTTTTTGATTTTATTCATATTAACGATAATACTGCCTTCTTTAAATATTGATCAATCCAAGTATGAAGTTAATAGATTTGTATCCAGATCAGAATTAAATGTCAGAGATAGAATAGTTTCCCATTTTGGCGCGATGTTTATGAAAGAAAATAACCAAGTCTTTAAATGTTAATTATACATTTCATAAAAGTGATTATTACCACAATATTTGAAAATTTTTTAATACAAAACAAATATGGTTTCTGATATATATAGCATTAGACGTATTAAATAATACTTTGCGCGTTATTTAGTAGATGTTATTTTAAACAAAAATAAAATTTCCCTAAATCTGTTAATCTAATTATTTGTTGAAATACTAATAAAGGATGCACGTTATTTTGAAAGCATGCGTGCTATTTTTAGGAGACGCAGCTCTTTAAAGACGCGACTCTTTAATAGAGTTTGGAACTGGTTTAATTTTTCATATGTTAAAACCGATTAAAACCGGGTTTAACATAAAACCGGTTCCAAACTCTAACTCTTTAAATAACGCAACTGAGAACATTCGAGATTAAATTATGAATTTTTATTATGAATGAATCATTAAATAAATCAAAAAGGATCAATTTAAGATTATCACAATTGGACATCATGATATTGAACTAAATAAACGAACGATTAACGGATGAATTTATTGATATTGTTATTCATTCGATATTACAACTTTGTAAATGAACTTATATAATATTGAATATTGCATCAGATATTTCTAAAACTTAAAACGATGAATTTAAAAGAAAAATTATTATGGTTATATTATATTTAGTTGGTATAGATAGGTTTGACATTAATTCAAGATGTGAACCAAAATTTTCATTATTACTATTGTATTTTTTTTAATGATTTCCCTCTGATAAAAATTGTCGTCGTCGGTTAATCCTATATTAATGAAAATATGAAAGTCAAATAGTCAATAATATTGCTTTTACGAGTCATTACATATTCTTTTTTAAAAAAAAAAAAGTACTTACATTTATGAGCCAATAAATTTAATAATCATATAAAACTACTAATTTTAATCATCTTTAATAACTTGAAACACTTCATATTCGTCTATGTAAAACCATCCCTTTTCGTCTCTGATTGGAATTTCATAATGACTTTTTCCAATATGCCATTTTTTAGGAGAATTTCCCATTACAAGGTCTTCCCCGCCAAAGCATAGACCTTCTTGTTCTGAACAATGCATAATTGCATTTGATTTATTATCTACACGACTAAGTATAGACTCATCGCGATTTCCACTTTTTAAAGAGAAAATAAAACTATCTTCTGTTACTATAAGATCATTAGCTCCAAATTTCCAGGTAAGAGGATTATAACCGCCAAGTATCTCATTCGTGCTATCAATCTTTGCAACAACCACAGTACCAGGTACGTCATCACATATTCTGTGAAATGTTTCTCCTGTAAAATCATCTCTACTGCCTCTAAGTAAAAGTTTAAATTTATACGGAATTTTTTTAGTATCATAAATTGTTGAACGTTTATCAATCCATGATGAAATCTCTGCCATATGTTGTAATGTAATTATTGAGGAAGATGATGCTGTAATAGATGATGTTTTTCCACGACGAGGTAAAATTTTTGATTTGATGGGTGTTTTCGGTGCTAATTTTTTTGTTAAAATATCATCCCATAAATTCTTTTCAAGAATACTATGATATGGTTTGACATTTTGTACAATATCTTCACCAGTAATTTGAAAGAATCTAATATGAGGAAGGCAATTCCGAAGTGCTTCTTTTAAGGTCGTAAAGTTATCTTCTGTCCATTCTTCAAGGTCTTCTGGTAAATTTGGTGTTTGCGCTTTCCCCCATTGAATAACTTTTTCCCAAATTTCTGATTCATCAACTTCTAAATCATCATTCTTTAAAAGAGCGATCAATGCACTCTCTTGAAGCGCGGGAAAAAAATCTGAATCAAAAATCATATTTGGATTCTTTACAACCATTTTACTACAATATTTTTGCAAAGTACTAAAATTATCGTGAAGAAAGTTTAATTGGTAAACTCGGAAAAAATTCGATTGAAGCCAAGTTTCGTTGTGTTCAATAAGGTAATTTTGAATATAATCAACTAATTCTGTAAGCGAGAAAAAATTAACTCTAACTAATAAATCCAATATAGCTACTGGTTCAAAATGTTCCAAAGAAATTACGCCGCCATAAATATATCTATATAGCGAAAATGAAAAAAGTTTCAAAATCTTTTCTTTTTTTTTTTGCTTATTATTAAGAAGCATTTATTGACTACAATCTTTTTAACTTACTTGATAATAACATTAAATGCTTCAACAGTAACATAAGGTAAATCAATTTTAATGATATTATTTTTTCTCCTCGCATTTATTAACATTTGGGCGAAATATGATGAACGTTGATGCAAAATTGCTGAATGCGCTTTAAAACTTTTATTATTCGGTTTCTCTCCAACTTCAATAACAACATTATAATCATATTCACTTTCAAGAAGTTGTGTAAGATCTTGAGAAAGTTGTTTAAAAAATATTTTGGGCATCTTTTTAATATCGTTACGTATGATAATTTTGTGTAGTATAGATGCGTATGTTTGTTAGTTTTATACGTATTTCATGGCAGATAGCGATAGTGTACAACGTAAAAAATGTACATACATCAGCCCGTCTAAATATATCGATTAGGGAGGGAAATCACGGCTAATCTTATTTCCTTTTTCATTAATTGTATTGATGGGTGGTTTTACAAGCAAAGACCATCCTCAATTAGGAAATGAAATCAGCAAGGGTGGCTTCCCCCGAAGTTCGGGTTAATGATCGACGTTATTGCCCTGCTACCGCAGCATACATTTAATTAATTTCGACGTAATCATTCATCATAACAGCATGAAAAATTAATTGATTTTTTGAATCTTCGAACATCAAAATATGTTTAAACGACAAGAGAGACCTTGATTATTTGATACGGTAAGATATTATATGCTGCGCAGGACGTCGATCATCAACCCGGATTTCGGGGGCCGCCACGGCTGATTCTAATGATTATATAACCGTTAAGGAAATATTTTATACGCGTTAAAAGCAGTTACAAATTTGGCAGTTAACTAAATAAACTGGTTTAACTAGTTATATGAAACTGTTTCAAAAATTTGTATAACTAAAGTTATTGTGTTTAAACTATCTCGGGCTAATTAACAAAATTTCTGATTGGCTAAAAATTAAAGATCTGTGATAGCAGTTATTGATTAACAGTACAAACTAGTTTGTATGTAGCATTTATAGTTTCATCAACAGACATGATAACTGGTTTGTCTCAACCGATAAAGGTTTGAGTCCAAAACTGAGTCAATGTAGTTTTATTCTAACTACTTACACTCCTATTATGGCTAAGGTTTAACCTATTTCTTCTACAAACAAGTGTAAACTACGAAGTAAACTTAAGGCTTTCATACTTTCTATGTCTTAATCTATTTTAATCAAAACTTTTATATTATGATTTTCTATTCACATACACAATATCGATATTGCAATTAGCGTTTGACCCAAAGTTCTGGTCACGATGAATTCCACAGCCTCCACACTAGATTCTCGATTTTGATTGAGAGAGTACGTTCAATAATTTAGGTTGGAATTACTCAATTTCACTAATAAAGTCACAGCCACCATTAAGTGAAAAATATTCCGGGGCTAATTTACCATAGTGTGAGTCTATTTTTGGAATGAAATATTAAAAAGTTAGCTCCGGCCAAAAAATTATGTAATGTGGGCCAAAATTTTGTCAATCCCGTTAATAAATCAAAGTCGTGACAAATTGGGGTTTCATGTAGTGCTTGGATCCGGATTACAATATCCGGATATAAAAAGGATAACGGATTTTAGTTTTGTAAAGCGGATAATAAATCCGGATATTTATTTTAGTTGTTATAAATCCGGTTTTTTATCCGGATATTATATGCTAACAACAT